AGCAAAAATAAAAAACATAAAAGGAATTTTACTTGCACATAATTATATGTTCATCAGAAGTACAAAAGGTCATCAGTCCACTTCAGGTCTGATGGTTGAAAGAAGAATTTTAGGGTGTCCAGCTACCTATTATAGTCTGGTAAGGCACGATATGTTTCATTATCAGCAATATATTATAAAACACTTAAACCAAGTCTAAAATGAGTTTAATAAATCAATTATAAAATATTTTCCTACCTAATAGTTTCTTAAAGCACTATTTTTAAACAATATAATTCAAATTTGAGTTCATTGTAGTATTGCCAATAACTCAATAAAAAAAAAAAAGTTCAAGATCTTGAGATTATTGTAAATGCTCTTATTTCTGGATTTTTTTTTCCCAAAAGATGCAAAGGTGCTTTCTCTTCATCCACACTTGAGGATGAACCTTTTTAGATGATTTGTAAGTGTTTTTTTTTGCACACATTTGTCCGGCATTTTCAGGCTTCAGTGTTTTTGTTTTAGTAAATGGAGTGCCGGAGATGAGTCAAAAACATTTTCAGGTGTCTTTTAGGCACTCTCATTGAAGTCTGTGAGGCCAAAAACTCACAATTCTGACGGAAAAAAACCCTGTTTGTACTTTTTCAAGCTACAAGTGTCAGGCAACACAATGCTCAAACCAATGCTGGAATGCTTCCAGTCACCCAAAGAATACAATTCTAAACATTAAAAACCACTTACCGCAACTCTGCCCCCCCCGGCTATATCTCCAACCTCGTCTCAAAATATCACTCTAACCGTCCTCTCCACTCCTCTCAAGACCTCCTGCTCTCTAGACCCCTCGTCAACTCTTCTGATGCTCGCCTCCAAGACTTATCCATCATCTGGACCTCCCTGCCCCAACCTGTCTGGCTATTTCCTACTTTGTCTTCCTTTAGGCAATCCCTGAAAAGTAAATCTTCTCTAGTGGAAAACGTATTGGCCTGGTTAGATTTTTCTTTCCAATCCTCACTGTTTTTCCCTGAAATAAGCCATCAGAGTTGCCTGTAAAGTACTCTATCTCCTTCCCTGTAGGAATACACATGTAGCATATATAGGGCTGCCACCTTTTCTTCAAGCTAAACCCAAATACTTTACTTTTGAGAATATACAGGAGAGAGTGAAGGAAGACAGCCAGAAGAGATAGCGAGGAGAGACAGCCAGGAGGATGAGCGATGACAGACAGACAGGAGGATGAGCATGGAGACCCAACCAGAAGAGAGAGGGAGGAGAGACAGCCAGGGGAGAGAGCAAGGAGAGACAGCCAGTTGAGAGAGCGAGCCAGGGAAGAGAGCGAGGAGAGACAGCAAAGAGTATGGACGAGGAGAGACAGCCAGGAGGATTAGCTAAGAGAGACAGCCAGGAAGATGAGCGAGGAGAGACAGCCAGGAGGATGAGCGAGGAGAGACAAAGGAGAAAGCAAGGAAAGACAGCCAGGAGAGAGAATGAGGAGAGACAGCCAGGAAAGAGCAAGGAGAGACAGCCAGGAAAGAGAGAGAGGGGAGACAGCCAGGAAAGAGCGAGGAAAGACAGCCAGGAGAGAGAGTAATGAGAGACAGCCAGGAAAGAGCGAGGAGAGACAGCCAGGGGAGAGAGTGAGGGGAGACAGCCAGGAAAGAGAGAGAGGAGAGACAGCCAGGAGATCAATTAGGTTTTCTGTCCTACTAATAAGAAAGCCATCCCAAGCAATCCTTCACATACTTATACATGATTTGAGCCCATTAAGTAACAACACAAAGGGATTCAATAGAGAAGAAAATATCTTATATTGAGGTGTCACCAGCATTGCCAACGAATGAAGAGCTACAAAGTATAATGTCAGAGCCGAGACAGAGGCAAGCATAGGAATCTCCCTGTGATCCACCCAGAAGAGATCAGATGTAGAATTACAGTTAAAGCCACTGTGATCACACCCTTCATTGTATTCGATCATCCACTAGTGTATGGCCAACTTTGTATATCAGTCCAATTGAACCAATGGCGGACATTGACAGTATTCTGCCCATATTATTATATAAAGGTGCTCCAGATTTTGCACCTGCTGGAGAACTACAAGTCACACCATGCCCAGCTAAGCCCCACAGAAGAAGCCCACACACAGCTCTCCCTGTTTTTACTATAGTCTCTGGTCCACTTGGTGGAACACGATCCTCCCCGCAGACAGTCCTCTCCCATAAACAAGCTTCACCCTGCCGCAGCCCCGCACAGTTTAGCACCTGCACTGCCCGCCCACACCGCAACAACTGCAGGAGGATAACGGCCGTGTCATACCTCTCCATGCTTTTCAATCTGGCGCCGGCCCTGCATACGAGCATGAACACAAGCACTCCAGGGTTGCCCGTGTCCGCCTGACATCATGTGTACCAGTTTCAACTGGATGAAACGTGGACACACCACAAATAGGACTCAAAACCTGGACTGTCCGGGTGAATCCCGGACAGATGGCAACCCTATTCAGGCCATACGTTTCACCTTTCTAGCAGTGTTCCTTTTAAGCCATCGGTTTCACCTTTCTAGCAGTGTTCCTTTAAGGCCATCGGTTTCACTTTTCTATCAGTGTTCTTTTTTAGATTTCTACTGAATTCAAGTGCCACCTACTTTTTATTTTTAACTCTCACGAGTACCTGTTATCTACCTTTTAACATCTGTAAATGTTGCAACACTTTCACATGTTACTCCCATGAAAGTGTTTTGTGGTTTGTTTATGCTCAGTGCAAAGGAACATTTTACCTTTATTCCTGCACAGCTCATCAAACAGGAACTTGGCACTACTTGAAGGACCTGGAGACATTGTATGACAACTTGTCATCTAGGTATGAACACTACCTTAGATGTTGGAATTGGGTGCAGTTTTTGAGACAGATTGACATTAGGTATGTACATATTATAACTGAAATTAATTACTCCATACTTCTTAAAACACAGACACGGTAAATCACCTTTGTATAATCTTTTTTTGTTCCAGTGACTTATTTTTTTTCTTAATTCTCACTCAGTCTAACATGCAAGAAATTAGGAAAACCTCAATAAATGTTTTACCTTATTGTCAATAGTAATGATGAGAGTTCTGATCTACAAATCATTTTGAATTGTTTGAATCATGATGTGTCTGTCCCTGATTAAATGGACTTCTTGTTTATTTACTTACAACCTTGGCTCTGAATTTTAAGCAAGCCTATCGTGAACAAAAATAAGTAGGCTTCCGTTGCTGACCACTGCTTCTGATAATGCTAATTGTATGGATGTTGTGTTGAGACTTTGACATCAATATTTTCTAAATCACTGACCCCCATCAAGTATAGTGATAAAGAGTTCTGACTTTTCTCTGACTTTCCTTTGCCTCATGTTTGTTTTGGGTCTGTGACTCAGGAATACTGAGGTCAGACACTGCCAAGAAACTAGCATTTTAAAGACTCTTAAGGATGGTCATTGTAAGCAAACACTGCCTTTTGCATTCTAATGCAGTTCTACTCAGTGTTCAGATGCAAAACACAGTGCCATGCCTGCAATATGAACAGATCTCAATGGGACCTGCTGCAAAGAAACACAAACCAAAGCGAATCAGATCAAATGAACCCTTAGAATGGTGATCCACACTACACCATTGAAGTCCAAATGAATCCCCAGTTTAAATCTGCTAAATACATTCCAGGTGCATACAAAAGATGTATAACTCTCTATATTATATTTTAAAAGTGACAAACCTTAAAAACTCTCTGGCCTTACGACCATTTTATATGTAACAGTCATGCTTTCTCAAAGGTAAATATATATACCCTCACTTCAAAGTCTACTTCATTTTAATCCATATAGGTGTGCTCTCACAATAAACACTTTTCCAGCAGCGGGGTCAAAATGGCTCCAAAATATTATTGAGACAGAGACAAAGATCTCTTATTAGCAGGGAGCATGAGCTTTGCTGATTGCAGAGCTATAGGTCTCACACAGTAGGGAGTGTATTGCACCTCGGCAGAGAGACCACTACTTAACCACAGAGAGAAAGGGTCCCACTCTGCTGCATGCTGGCAGGGGACAGGTTTTTCTGCTCAAGCTGTGGCTGATTTCTAAAGGAAACCAACTCTAAGGTTTTGAACATCTTCATTTTTATGCACCTGGAATATATTAAGTTGATTTAAAGGGCTCAATTGGGCTTTATTATAAATAGAAATCTGCAGGCTGGAGTTTGACATGTGCTTCAAGAAAAAAAATAAAAAAATCCAAAAGGTAAATGGTAAAAAACGAAAAACAAAACAATTTGGCCAGCAGTGAAGCATCCATCTTACTTTCATGAGAGGCTAGTCCCCATTCACACCTAGGCATTTTGTCACTCAAAAGTAAGAGCAACCTAAATGCTCAAAACAAGGAATCCCATTAATTCCTATGGCCCCCTGTTCACAACTGTGCATTTGTTTTGTTAAAAAAAAAGTACATGAGCTACGTTTTAGCAGATTACGATTTTTGGTTCTATAGACTTCAATGGGAAACTTTGTGCAACAAAATCTGCTAAATACAGTGGCCATAAAAAAATTAATGGGATTCCTTGTCTTGAGTGTTTTGTCAAGACAAGCAAATAGGATTGCTTGTCTTCAGCGTTTTGTCGTGCTTAGCTTTGAGCGACAAAATGCCTAGGTGAGAACGGGGACTTATTTTTTTTACCAACTTTTTTCTCAAACTGTATTTGTAAAATTGTCCAGTAGATGGCAGTAAAGTACACTTCCAGACTAATACAAAGCAATGCTCTGTACTGATGTGTTAATGGGTTTGGACAGCTCCCAGCATAAATTTAACTGTGTGTAATTCTGAGACACAAGCTAAGAGTAGGAAATAGAGTGTCGCCAAACACAGTTTGACATAGTCAGCTCAGAAGTAGGCTGCTTTGAAATGGAAATGCTTGGTATGCATGCAGCCAATGAGATTCTTAGGATGTAACCTTCCTACTCCTCTCTTGTCAGGATACAGGCTGGCTGACAGCATTTACAGGATGACTTTCTCCTCCCATGTGATGGTCTAATAAGGGTGGACTGTGACCTGGCCTCAACATGCAGCTTGAAATTTCAAAACACACCTTGATTACCTCCCACTATCTACCTCAGCACTATATCAATGAGAGGAAGCCTAAGAGGATCACACATATCTTTTGAGTTCTGTGAGGACAGAACTTGCCTGGATTGTCGATTTGCAGGAATCTGTTGGAGAACCTGTACTCACTCCAGCTGTATAGTCCGTCTTCCATATGATGGCACCATGTGTGAAACAACTTCTGAATTGCAAGAGGTTATTTATTTTGCTTTTAACTCCCCTGTTGCTGTTACCTTTACCGCTCGTCATCCGTACAAAGGTAATGTGAACTGAAACGTATAACAGTTATTCTTTTATTGTTGGCTTGCATGACTCTTTGAATGTATTCTGCGTTGTCGTGTTGATTTAAATATCAAGTCATATGTAATATTTTAGCCAGTAAAAAAACTTTCACCATTCTCAAAGTCTTGTGAAGCTCTGAATGCCTTCTCTACAGCCAGCTTCAGGATGTACCTGATGGTCTGGAAGTTTATGATTAGTAGTTGCTTATACATTGATAGGCTGGTATTTTAAGTGTAGCTGACTTTGCATGCAGGGTTGACCAATCTTAGCTTGTACAAGCTACAGTTTACATAAAGGGTTACAAACTAAAATTAATATTGTAAGCCACGAGTGGACAAATTTGGTCAGTTGAATTAAGCAACAAGCTCATGTGTATGACAGCAGACAATTGGTCAGGTCTAAAATACATCTGGTTACAGCCTCCCTCCCCAGGATAAGCAGCGACGGAAGCATCTGGCTGCTCTTCTCCCTTCCATTGAGTATATTTACTCACTCAAGTCATATATACATGTTTAGACCCAGTTGGCCAGCGGACATGTTTTCAAGTGGTCAGATCTTGCCTTCATAATCAACTGCTTTAGCAGGCTTATGTCCTCTTTGAACAAAGAGATCTTTTGACATAAGAACTTACCACCTTTCCTATATTTACAATGTTCTTTCTGAATCCTACTTTGCTGATCTGACCTCATTTGATCATATGCACATTGCACTAAAGTTATTTATTGGCAACAATGCATAAATACGTTTGCTTTTAGCTTTGCCAGTTCTTAGCTCTGAAACAAGGGTTTAAGGTACCATAGAGCAGTATTTTTTAACTTATTGAGGTAAAGGGGGCATTAACTCCAGCCTCTGATAGCACCAAGGGGGCGGTACATAATATTCAGAATATGTAATGCTATAGAAGATGGTCTGAGACTACAGTCATACTACAGGTGTTGTTAAAGACTGGAAAACTGCTGCAGGAGACAGTCAGAGAATTAGAGACAGGTTACATGAAACTGGTAGAGATCACTGACATTGTTGCCCATTTGCAAATCAATGCTTTCTTTCCAACTAGTGAAATCTCAAAGGACCACATAGTAAGTAACAAACGGCCGCATGTGGCCTTCAGGATGCAGGTTGGGCACCAGGGCCCTAGACATTAGATGATGGTCTACCAATCTTTTCCTTACAATGGGTGATGGCAGACCCAGGCATTGTCAGGAAACAAAATAATTGGGGACGTTAGAAAATTACTGTCCATTTGCAAATTAATGCTTTTGTTCTCACTAGTGAAATCGCAAAAGACCACACAGCAAGTACCAAACGACCACATGTGACCCTCATGATACAGGTTAGGCACCAGGGCCCTAGACTTTAGATGATAGTCTACCAATCTTTTCTTAAGAATGGGTGATGATGACAGCCCCATGAATGTTCAGGGAACAAAATACTTGGAAACATTAGAAATTCTTGCCCAATTGCTACTGTTTTCTCTAAAACAAGAAATGTATAAGCACTGCTCCCCCTGCCTCCTTTATTACACTAGGAGTTCTTGTGTGACTAGAGTGCCCCTGTTTGGGGCTGAAAGTAGCCAAAGGGACACCATGAGATAGTTAGTCTGTGCATGAACATCTGACCGTTCTCTAATATTCAGCTTTACAAGTTTATTTTGTGAGGGACATATTGTGCCATGTTGGTTATGTTTTAACATGTGCATGGAACAAACTCTAAACAGATATTGTAAAAACATTTTAGGATTCTTGGTAAGAAGAACATGTCTGTCATAAGAATAAATCTAGCCATACACTATAGATGGCAATCAGAAAATGCACAAAGCCTCCTATCAAATCTACATGTATCTGGAGTGGCAGACGCCTGCTCTGTTATCTATGAGGGACAATAGCTAGTGAAGATTCAATCACGTAATCAAATTCTGATGATTTTACAAGCTGCCCATAGAATGAATGATCTTTATCTGGATTGGGGGACAATAGTCTAATATTCATGAGAGCCTTAAAGCACAACAGTTGAAATAAGCATATGTGAACAGTATTGTTTGCCAACGTTAGTAATTCTGTTTATCCAGTCTTGTGAAATGTTAATAGAAAGGATGGTGACATTATAATTCCCTACTGCAGGTTTCAATGTCACCTCCCAGAATTATCTGATTTTGGTGCAGGTTTTTCAGCAATGATAATTTGGTTTCCTTCATACAGGTGTGGCACCTAGGTATGTATAACACATCATATTTTTAGCACAATAGTAATATCATCACTAGTATTATGGTGATTAGTTATCATAATGTAGGATATACACTGCATAGCCATGATGGTATACATTTCACCTGCAGTTCACTTTAAATTGCCCCTGTTGTCACAGAAAGAAAATCAAAGAAAAACCGTGTCACAGGTGAAGCTTTATACATACCTGTCCAGCAGACAATGAGTTTGATCTTTGCTCTCTTGGGCGATACTGCCATCCAACTTTTCCGGGTGTTTTACATAGCAGGTCCCCTACTATCTGTGCCAAGACATTTTGTGCCGGAAGATTTTGTGCCAACTTTGCTGTGCCAACAACAACAACAAACCAATATTCGGAATCTAAAAATGAAGATACTGTCATCTCTTGGGCTGTTATTGGACTATGGAGGTACATCATCACAATGATTCTCCCTATGCTCCCCTCCTCCTGTATGCTCCACAAACATCTCCCCATCTAGCTCCCAGTGTCTGAAAACATACAGTACTGTGCAATGTAATACAGTCTCATTGACTCACAGGGCATATACTGTTCATGTGTGCAGAGAATTATTGGAAAACAATATAAATATTCAATGAAGACTCCTCTGCTAGTAGTATTAAAATGCACGCACAGTATTTGTTTATTATTTGAAGGGAATTCCATTTTAAAGGTGTTTAAAGAAGAACTATGAGATGTCCATGTCTTTCTGTTAAAGATCCAGACAATGGAATTATCTTGAAGAACTCAGAAACAAAATTAACCCCTGCAGTGGGGCTACACTGCACTGCAAGGGTTAAGTGCTCATTTTGCTCTAGGGTGTAAAATAAAAAAGATATGCTGACTCAAACCTCAAACCCGTCTGGCTGCTAGACCAGTCCCGGCAGCCTCTCTCCTCCTCTGCTCCAATGGTCTAAGAATTAATGAGCCACCACATTCAATACAGTGTATTGGATGTGAGGACGCCGGGGGACATTCCACTGCCAGAGCGAAAAGGCTTGAGAGGCTGGCAGACAGGTAAGTCCCACTGCAAGGGTTCATTTTGCTTTTGCCCGGAGTTCTTTTTTAAGATAATTCCATTGTCTGAATCTTTAACAGAAAGACATGGACATCTCATATATTTAAACTGGTACTAATCATGATGGTCCATCCAGTAGAATTATGTGCTCTTTCTTCATAGCGTAAACTTTCAGGCTGAGAAAATAAAATCGGCACAGCAGCCAATCAGAATTGTAGTTTAACGTTTCCATAATCCTGGTTCCATAGTCCTGGTGGTTGCAATTCTACTGCTCATTTCCTTTAGTGAATTTGGATTTAGTGAATTAGCCGTTTCCTTTCCGCAGGCTTTCTGCTAGATATTCTGTTCACTCAAAAGGTACTCACCGCAGTGGGAATGAGATTCCAATATATGAACAGGGAACAATTTTATAAATTCCTGTTTAGAAAGTACTGTTGTCATGATTGCGTGAGATGAAAATAGCTTATTTGAATCCTTCCCAGAAAACAATGCTCACACGTTTCACGGATCTGGCTTAAGCAAAGGGGCCTTTATGATTAGTCAAGATCGGTGAAACGCGTGAGAGGTTGTACACATGGGGAGTTGTTCGACAGGATGTATTCTTTACTTTATTAAATAATTGTTTTATTCATGGTGATCCACGGAAGAGTGGCTTGTTTTCTGAGAAGGATTGTTAAGCACGGCGAAGGCGAGCCGGCTTTGCCTGCACCTCTGGAATGATTCACAGTTGGATGTGGGATGCAAGATGTAAGAATTGGAAATTATTATATATTATTATAATATTATATTTTTCTTGTATACTGTGCTGTATATTATGAGATAAAGGGCCAATGTATGTGTATCGCTGGTTACACACAGGCCAATATGTAAAGATTTCAGAAAATTTCAACACATTTCCTATAGTGAGGTGTCCGTTAGTGAATGAACAATAATGACTTGTATTTTGCAATTTTTATACTATTTTAGGGCCGTTAGTCATTGTTTTGGATTGCTTGGACTCTGAACAATAGCAGGATATATATACAAATTATTCTATATCATGATGTATCTATCAAAAAAAGTTGTATGTTCAGCATAATGTGAAAGACATGAACCGGGCAAAGATACTTCAGTGGTAATACAATAATATCTCACAATATATATTGTGTGTTCCCTTGTTGGGTTTTCTTATCTTATGAACTGAAATGCGTTTTATGTAAAGCCTGCCTCCTGGTTCTGCGTTTGTATTCATTCTGAATCATTATTAAAAGAAAAGCCGTGCATACTTTGTTTGGAGATTGAAAGCTATGCAATGCTTTAGTAAGGATTTAGGGTCTGTTCACACTTGTCCTTTTTCCAGCAGTAAACCATGTGCATTTTACTGCATGAACATGCATTTCAAGTAGGGCCTAAAATGATTTCCATGTGGCTAATTCATACCTTTGGACTTTAGCTTAGTGTGTTTTTTTTTTTTTTCCATTTTAAATATAAGACAATTTGCATTTTTGCGTGCTAAGCAGTCCCATTGAAATGAAATACCAGATCAAATCCCGGAGTGCTCCTTCTATTTTGTGAAAAGGCCCCTTAGGTCTTTGATTAGCAGACAAAATGGCTTAAAGAAAACAACTTTTTGTATATAATAGAATATGATATGCTGTTGAGATGATTTCCATTAGCTTTATTCAGTGTTGGCTCCGATTAGAAGAATCTTTTCATTCATCTGCTTGAAAACTCTTTATTTGGGATTCCTTAAGTGAGAC